TATTGCACATCTACAGGACACCACCAATCATTTTCCAAAAGATGATTAGGCTACTGTGTAAAATGTAAGAGGAGTTCAGGGAACCAAGGTGTTTCTGTATTTAAAAAAAGACGTCATTTTTCGACCGCCCCCCCCCCTTTGACCACTAGGGTGAAAATGAAAATTCCGAAACCCTATTGCACATCTACAGGACACATCCAATCATCTTCCATAGGATGATTAGGTTACTGAATAAAATGTAAGAGCTTAACATTATCTAGAGGACTAATTTTGGAACACAATTGCTTTGATGGATGTCGAGAGATAAAGACAATTTCAAATACATGTATATAAAGGTCCATGCATTTTTAAAACGTGATTAACCTCAGCGTCACCAGTGATCCGTTGCCCCTATCAAGTGTTCTTGAAGTTCTGTTTCTTGTAAAGTACAGTATTGTAATAATTCCAACATTTTAATGGCATTAAGATCTTTAAATTTAAAAACTACATTTTAAAATGCATTCAGAAAAATTGAATTCCTAACCATTTCCAATTGACCAGAAATTGACAAACCCTTTGAAATTTCGTTTTTTCCACAGGATTAGAAAAAAATCCGTTACAAGTACAAAGCTAACCGCTAACAAATTATTCAATATTTCCCTGATAGTTTTTAAATTGTACAGATCTGAGATACTTGATTGGCTGTTTAAATTGCTTAACCCAGTGTCAAAAGAAATACGATTATCAATTACTATATCAAAGTAAATACTTACTGTGTATTTTAACATGAACCCAAAATGTTAAAACAAATGAGAATGAACTGGTTAATTTTAGAAGAATATTCAAATATTATGCAAAACATTTAAAAGAAAGGCAACACGTACTTGCCATGATACATTTATAACTTCAAGGATAATCGAAAATTCGGTTTACTGTACTCATACCGGGAAATTCACAAAAAATTTCTTCAATTGTTGATGAATGACATAATTTTTCGATGAATCTGTAGGGTTTTTCCTTCTACATGTATGAGTAAAATATTACATAATAGTTTCATAGATGGAAGATTTAAAGATGTTTTCATAGGCATTACGTTTCTTTAAATGGGTGGTCGTTACTGTATAAAAAGCCTGTTTCTAGTTGCCCATGAGAATCATATTTTCAAACACAATCTTACATAAATAATTGTTTACAAAATTAAGCTTCTTTGGAAAAATAACCCTTATATGATGCAGTCTGTGTCCGTTTTAGGTAATTATTACGTAAGGAACAATTATTTAATTTTTTGTCAGGTTTTTATTAACATTTTTATACTCTTTCATACAGACAGATTCGGACAGTTAAACCATGCAGAGAGCTACAGATCCAAGCATTGTAAAAACCTTCGATTTACGCCGCCGCTTTTTTGTCGCTCGCTTCGGGCATTATTTCTTGTATTTTATGCGTTCCCCCAAATCAAACATGGTATCCGTACTTCTATTCTTAGTACTTTATTTACCTTTCAACGGTACCAAAATGGCATATTTCTTTATTATAATGATTTCCTTAGCCAAAAATAGGTAATTTTAAAATTATATTCTTTTTTAGTTATTTCACAAAACCTTCAAACTTTGAAAGACTTATACTTAAACCTAGACGAGAGGTGATAATGGTAATTTATCTGAAACTATGTATTCAATGCGATTTCGAAGGTACCTATATATAATTAAATTTGAAAATATTTGGACGCGCCTTGTATTCACTTTATTTCTTCCTGGTTTAGATACTTCAAAAGATAGAATACCTAATTGTTTAATGAAATGATCAGGTTTATATATATATATCCTGTGGTAGCGTATATATTTAGTTTAAACAATAGTATGTTAAGTCATCTACATAACTGGATTGGATATCAGGCATGGGATTCTTATGACAATGACGCGTTCTTTTATACAAAACATTTATCATAAAACTTTTCTGGGGGTTAAAAAATTAGGGCGGATGTAGGTTGAAATGTATACCATTTATTCTTGCGAATAAAATTTTGGTTAATCCTATCCCACGTGTCATTTATAGCCTCTAAAACATGTAAAGAAAGCAGAGCGTTGATGAATGGAAATCACTTCTGTTTATCCAAGTGGAGAAAATACACGAAATGAAGTATTTATCTTGGATTATTTTATGTTGTGAATCCAAATTGATTGCAAATAAGTTAGTACATTGAAATTTCCGTTAGCGTGTGTTTTATTTTAGATCAAAGGGCAGATTCTAACTGCACAAAAGTTTAAAGAATCAAAACTGTTTAGTGTGCAGTATATAGAGGGTTCTTTTTAAAAGTTATTTTTTTCAACATCTCCTTTGAAAACACCCAGCTCTAAAAAAAAATATGTCTGGGTATTTTTGGAATTGTTTAAAAACCTACGATTTTGCGGCAAATTATGGACCTAAAATGTTCCTGCTTAGAGATGAAAACAAAACACAAAGAAACATATCCCGCATCATGTAAAGACATGGATAATTTTATTCAATACACACAATGGCTCAGTCAGGTAATGTTTTATTGGGAAGAAGGCTAACATTTCTCATAACCTTCGTTCCTGTAGTGTTGGACCCATCCGTCTTGCTAACATTTTTGGACAGAATTACTTTGGTTATACAATCATTGCTGGTACACAAAGACATATCTCTTCATCAAACCGTAAAACACAAAGCGGGTAATTTGACGAGGAAAGCACCCAACCGCAATGAGGCATTAGTAAACACTTTTTTCCGTTTCTATTTTTCAAGTTTCTTGTCGAACAAAAGTGCATTTTAAGAACTGTTTCTTAAAAATAATGTTCATGGCTGTTTGGAAATAGCCCGAAGCAATTACGTATGTCCTAAAATATTATGAAAAAATCGTGATGGTTAATGTTTGATTATTATATAGGTACGGATGAAAAAATAGACAAATTCCCCTCCATGAATATCAATGAAATGCAGTGGGACTCACAATATGAATTTAACCAATGTTACAGAATACCTTCATTACTAAAATGCATACAACAGGTTGGGACCAACTGCCTAAATTGTATATTAGAGCCCATTCGGGATATAGTATGAATGCAAAAAATGAATAAATACAATAACTCTTAGTAAATAAGTTTTTCCGTCGTCTATAGTTTAAGGCATTGATCCCGCAGAGGAACCAAAAATATCTCAAATTCTGTAGGACAACATAAAAATTTCCTTGCGACATTCAATATTCATATATGCGAATTCTTTCTTATATAACAAACATATTTTACTACCTTCTTAGCACTGTGAATTATTCCATCTGCATGTAATATTATTTCCCCAAAAGAACATTATATCCCACTTTGGACATAAGTCCCAACATGTACAATGAAAACTTATATTTCATTCTTACGAAATAAGGTCATTGTTTATTATATACATGTAATAGTTTGCAGAGTAGATTTTCCAGGGAAGAGATTTTCAAATATAATATTTTGCCAAGTAGATTTTCCAGAGAAGAGATTTTCAAAAGAATTTTCAGTAATTATCGGCTTAGAGCCCATAACCTTTACAAAAGATACGTGTCTGTGGGATAGTTGCTCATGATCAACAGGAAACTAGAAATATGTCCATAGGACATGAATGCCCCGCCGAGGGTATATTAGTAATGCAATAATTTAACACAAATTGAGAAAAGTGAGGTCAAGGTCAAAGGAAAAGTCAAGGTGAAAAAATATTGATGCAGTTGAATAGCTTACATCAGTATGTATCAGCATATGAAGTTTGACGCTAATTTAAGAAAAGTGAGGTCAATGTCAAAGGAAAGGTCAAGGTCAAAAATTGTTGATGCAGTTGAAAAGGATACATCAGTATGTATCAGCATATGAAGTTTGATAAAGATATTATGAATGGTTTCTTTAAAACTGAGCTAAACACTAATTTAAAAAAAGTGAGGTCAAGGTCAAAGGAAAGGTCAAGGTAAAAAAATATTGATGCAGTTGAATAGCTCTCATCAGTATGTATCAGCAAATGAAGTTTGACACTAATTTAAGAAAAGTGAGGTCAAGGTCAAAGGAAAGGTCAAGGTCAAAACATGTTGATGCAGTTGAATAGTTCTCATCAGTATGTATCAGCATTTGATGTTTGATAACACTATCTTGACTGGTATCTTTAAAACTGAGCTAAACACTAATTTAAGAAAAGTGAGGTCAAGGTCAAATTAAACGTCAAGGTCAAAACATGTTGATGCAGTTGAATAGTTCTTATCAGTATGTATCAGCATTTGAAGCTTGATAACACTATCTTAAATGGGTATCTTTAAAACTGAGCTAAACACTAATTTAAGAAAAGTGAGGTCAAGGTCAAAAGAAAGGTCAAGGTCAAAAAAAGTTGATGCAGTTGCATAGCTCTCATCAATATCTATCAGCATATATAGTTTGATAAAAATATCTTGGATAGTTTCTTTGAAACTGAGCTTTGAACAGAGCTAAACGCAAAGTGTGACGGAAGGACAGACGGAAGGACGGAAGACGGACATGACAAACACTATATGCCCCGGCCATATTCATGGCGGGGCATAAAAAGTTTACCAGCTCGGTGTCCAAAAGTATGTCAGATTTCAACAACACAAATTTTTGTAACAATCCTGTGATGAAGTCTAAACCGTGACTTCGGGACAATTTGGGTGGATAATTGCTCAATCAGTCAGATGTCCAGGAGTCGTTTTAGAAAACTGCTCATGCCCCAGGAGACAGAAGTTCTGTTACTTTATCCATTTTGTTTCAAATTAGAGTCCTGTCATGAATGAATGAAATAACGAACAGTATTCAAGCTCAAAAATCCATTCAAACAATACAAATCTGGAGCAGAGCAAACACAGACCGCTAAAACATCAGAAATGACACCTAGAGGGTAACAAAGGCAACAGATCACTCGATCGATTCCAGTGATCTTAGTTAATTGTCTCTGTAGGTCTGTCTCTGAGATAAATTTGTACTCCTACTGTATCACTGGTACCACAAATAAAAAAAAACAGAAGAAAAAAGTTTATTTACAACATATTTATTTCAATGCTATTTTCAAACACATGGCAATTTTCAGATGCACTTCATTCCAAAAGTAGATCCCTGGAAATGAATCCTCTTCTAAATCTGTTAATTCATCTTCTGAACACTTTCCATCGACGCACTGATGATTTCACAACGATGAAGACGAAATTCCAATGATTAAAATCTCCAGTGATATCCAAGTGAACAAATTAAAATATACATGATACATATTGACGCAAAAACAATGAAGGCGTGGCTACTAGTAGAATTTACATAAAAAGGAGTGGCTTGACACATCTTGACATAAACCTACAAAGAGAAGACGAAAGAAAGGTAACCTTTGATCTTCATTAACAGTTTTTCAGTAGATATGCACGAATATTTTTTAATATATTTTATCAATAATAATAATAATTTGTAAATGTTTGGGTTTTTTTTTTCCCTTTTTTTAATAAAGAATAAAATGTCTTCCCATTTAAGATACAAATGAATAGTGCATATCTACTTTTACTAACACGGTAAAATAAATACAGTATTCAAGGATAAAGAAAATACAAAATATATCAAAATGTTTCACTCTATGCTTCAGTTTTCTCAGTTTTCAGAGGGTTTACATTTAATCAACATAAAACTGAAACATAAATCAAAACACCTTACAAAATCTAATCAGATACTAAGCTATTCAATGATTGTAAAAAAAAAATCAATATATAATTATTATTGAGTATTTATGTTCATTTTTCAGCAAGATAAGATGGTGGACATAGAAAACCTTCCCAGCTTACAATCTTACAAGGGACAAAACTGGGTTTACAATTACTCACACTGCATACTCCCCCATAATAGTACACTTCTGGTTTTAATATGAATACTTGGTCAAATATGTTGACCTTATATTTGTCACAAAACTTCAGAGCAAATAAAATGGTAAAAAGCGTGTTTCAAACAATTTCTCTCTTTCTCATCTCACATTCTATATATCTACTCAATCTCGCATAATTCTCACTCGATCCAAACAGCACAATGAAATTAAAGAAATTGTCAAACAGAGCTGTAACGTGAATATCCAAGACTTGCTAAATGGTTTTATGAAACTGAATACTTTTATATTGATGTCCAGATATAACATCGGCATTAATGTTACAGAGAAGAAGCATGCAATTTGCTCAATAATTACAAAAAACCTCTTCACATTTCCTAGAATTCTCAAAAATTCTCAAAACACTTTCAAAATCATCTATATACTTTTCAATCAAGCACATAAAATTCAATCCGATTTCCAAATTTCAATATTAAACAGTTACTACCATAATTTCAATATTAAACAGTTATTACCATAATTCCAATATTAAACAGTTACTACCATAATTTCAATATTAAACAATTACTATCATTTTTTTTAAGGATCTGCTAATGTTCACTTTATCTTACTTCGAGGAGTTACAATTTGCATAAATATTATCTTTTTCCACATCATCTCAACTCTTTTATACATATTTATTGAAAAAAAAAAAACAATAAAGTATTTGTCAATCATCCATTCAAAATTATCTCCTCAACGATTCTCCTAACTATCCAACCCTTTTATTTTGAGCTGAACGACACTTTCAACAGTTTTAAGAAGATATTGTGGCTTTCAAGACTTCCTAAATGAAACAGGAATCTAAATACAGCAATAATTTCAACTTCTACTGAAACAAATGATGTTGCAACACAGTGCAACTGAAGCCCAAACTAGCAAAAATTTAAAAAAAAAAATCATTTAAATAGATAGCAACTCCATTGTTCGACAGCATGTTTACTTATACATGTATTAACTGTCAGTCAATGATTGCGAATATAAAACCTGTGGAGAAACATTTTGTTTTAGTCATACAAATGGTCTTCAAACTAAATAGTACCTGCAAGAAAGTTCATCTAAAGTAAATTCATAACAAACTACAATGTATACCAGCAGCACACTGCAATTTTTCAGAGCCAAGATTTTTCCACAGAAAATCATTTAAAATACTGAAAACATACTTTTTCCATGGGATCATAATTCCACAGAATCACAATTTCTGTTCCATCAGCGTATATAAAATTAAACTCATTTCTTACACTGCCATTGCTCTTCAATACAATTTAAGTACGCTGTGACAAATTTCCACGGAAAATGTGTGACCACAAGCTTAGCAAAAATTAATCCCGCAAGGAAAAATGTGTGTCTACAGTATAATAAACAAGCATTCAAACTAATGCATTCAAATGATGGCAAATTCACAGTACAAATAAAATGAATAAAATTGTGAAAACCTTGCAATAACTTGAAACATAATATGTCCTGATTAAGCTAAAGATAATCTGGAACATTATACATTTTAGTGAAAAATTGCAGTGCATGTTACACAAAAGTATACTGCACTTGCTGAAAAGGAAAATCATTTAGCTTAAATATGACATTTACTGCACAATGTATCAATGTGATGTTGCACCAATAAAAATCTTATAAAATTATCTTTATTAAATTAACTTTTCTACAGGGAAACTGTAAGAACTAACGCAATTTTTATTGGTGCTGTTAACTTAATTCAACATGGTGCACAAATAGGATGGTTATGTGTTAATTGGTATTAATCTTCAATGTATGTCATTCATTTTTATACCAAACAAAACTATCATATGACAACATAACATGCACTTCATAATACTCGATAGGCTATTCATACATAGTAATTCAGACTTTTACAGCACATTAAATTATATACATAAACAGTATGCTGAACACGGAATACATTTAATTTCCCTGAAAAGAAAAGCTATGGCATAAATTCTGACATATTTTTTTTTTCAAACAAAGTCTTTCTTTATATATTTAATTTGCACAAATAATTTATTTTAAGTACATGTACTTACCATTTCACTTACCTTTCAAAGATCTGTCCCCCCATTTTGATATATATATGTCTTTTACAGACACAAAACACATTTATATTGTAGCTTACAACTCAATAGTACAAAAGGAAATATAAATAGTGACAAATTCCAGTAATGGGTACAACCACTCTATATATAACTGACATCCAACTTTACAACATGACCTTATCCATTATAACTACTGCAATTATGTGTCATTTAAAGTTTATATACCTGCCAGTATTCAGTAATACAGATACTTTACAATAAATAGTTCCAGCACCTTGTTTAACTTTTTTTTAACTGTACAATGATTAAAGAATACAATAGATGTCACTTCATCAATCTTTTTTAGATTTGTGACCAAATATTTTGAGAGTAGATGTCTTATACATCATGGATTATCAAGACAGCAGAAGTTTGGCATCATAAAGCCTTTTTAAATTAAAATATAATTTTGAATTTTGTTTTTCGTTATGAGTGAAAAATTCTCAAAGGGATATTTAACAAACAAAAATTTTTCAAAGGCAAAGGAGAAAAAAAGAACCATAGATATTTTTCTCTGATTTTACACTGTACATGTACAAACACATTCACTAAAGCAATTATCATTCAATATGTATTCGTATTCAACCCAAGAGAATTTTATGGATGCTTTGAAAGATTTGCACATTGGAATCTCTTATGTGTAAACAATGATATGCACTATGCAAGGATAAAATATTTTGCTACTCTGAATGTCACATATGAAAGAATGATGATGCATATAAAATGGCAAGAAGATAAGTAATACACTGTACGTATCAAAATAATAAATAAATAACAAATAAAAAAAAATAAATATTAGAACACTTTGGGCAAAACAATTTTCTTTAAAATTCTGGATGTAAAGAGTCCAGAATATTTTTCTTTGCAAAATACATAGTGATGAAAGACTTAGCATATTTTATGGTGAACTTTTACATCCCTTGGATGATAATGCCATATATAAATTTTGTTATATATACTGTATGGAGAAAAGTTTGGCAAATTTAAAACAACACTTGAGTCAGAGTTTAGACTTGGGGCAAAGTATATCAATAAGTCACATCGTAATTAAGTCTATCTTTCTCCAAATAGTGACTGCACTAGAGATGGAATGACCTTAATATGCATTTCAACAAAAGTGGAATTGTATTCATTTGGAATACCTAGTTGCATAACGATTTTTTTTTCTTTTGCTTTCTTAAAATAAGCTGATAACTTCTTTGATGGCACAAAATAACTCATGTAAATAATTTGTTTTAAAAATAATAATAGAAATAAAACAAGACATAAAGCCATTCCACCTTTTCACAATTTTTAAATTGTTATGTAGACTACATATATTTTTAGATGGACAGTAGAATATTTCCAACATTGACTGGATGTTTTTATGATTTACAACTTATTCTATGGGCAGATAAACCTATTTTCAATCACTTTTAATGGGATTTTCCTGAATTATGGGACAAAAAGCACCATCGGTGAGGAAAAGAGTAGCCTCTATTTCTACATCTGCAAAAAGAAAGGTAATGTTTTAAAACTAAAGAAAAAATTCCTATTTAACAATATCTTCAATACTCTAGCACCTACCTTCTTTATCGATCACCTCTAAGGAGACTAAGTGGAACTTATACTGACAGAATGACAGTATATTACACAGAAAATGATTAATGAACAAAAGCATGCGACATTTCATGGGTAGAAATATTCTTAGCAAATCAGCATTATAATTTCATCACCTGTGCAGTACCTATTTGTTAGAAATCTGAAAACCAAAGGCATTAGTTGAAACTTGAGAACTTTCTGTAAATCCTTACCAAGTAAAAGTCAATCTAATGTCGCCTGCTACTGTACTCTCGTTCCCTATCCCTATCTCGGTCTCGATCTCGATCCCGGTGAGATCTGGAGGATGAGGAACTGGACTCAGCCTCATAATGGCGATCTCTTTCTCGGCTCCTCTCACGATACTCCCTTTCTCTGTCCCTACTTCTTGATCTGTGACTGCGACTTCTTTCCTTGCGCTCTCTGTCTCTTTCTCTTGAACGTGATCTTCTACTGCTGCTCCTTAACACAAAGTACATAAAGAACTGATTGTGCTGGTAAAACTTGATAACTTTTTTCACTGTATTAAAGGTATTTGTTTTAGTGTGCCTTTGGAAACTTCTTTACATATTGGAAAGGTAATCTCTAAAATCATAAATTTGAATTTAAAAAGTCTATAATGAAGAATAGTGCCATACAATCTTTTCAGTTATGTGAAAAAAATAGGGATTTATGTTTGCTTTTTTTTTTTTAAATAGCAGCTACCTTTAAGAAAATACTGCAAAAAAATCTGTTTAAAAATACTTTTTACCAGGTGAAATCTATCAATATCTTTTCTAATAATCCAAACATGCATCCTTACTTTGATCCATAAGATTTTTCCTCAATTCCATGAAGTGTATCCTGTAGCGAACTGATCAGGATTTTACAGCGATCATCGCTGGCAATCTTTGACTGCTTTATTAGAGATATAGCCGTCACCAGAGTCTCAATTGCACTCGCAAATTCACCTTCAATGCAGAGCACACAAAGACAAGGTGATTTTCAAAGCAACAACGAACAAAATTACATTTAATTACATCTGAGGAGAGATCACTCTGAATCAATGAACATTAGATTTAGTTACAATTAAATTGCACCCATACAAATTTTTCAAACTATTTAAGATAAATGACTTTTTCCTCATGCAGTAAAGGTAGAATTAAGAATATGAAAATTTTCAAATAACTGAGAATCACAAGAGAAGTCCTTGAGACATGGCATATCATGAGTCATATTGGTCTGATCATCAGAAATATGTTCTTGTGTACCTGCACTAGCATCTTGAACAGCTCGAGAAATAGCACTGCTGGACACAGTTTTATTTCTTTGAAATATCTCCTCAAACTCTTGTTCACTAAGGGCTGGAGACTGTGGCTCAGCTCTGAAAATATTATAAACAGCTTTGAACTAAGAATATTCAAAACAATTTGCTAATGCTGTGATCATTTACAACATTCTGTTCCTTGTTTAAGAATACAATTTTTCAAGTTTACTTGATGTCAATTCTAAAACACAGATTAGCAGAAGTTATTGTACATTATTATGGACAAACAGCACTGCAAATACAAAACAAACCTTTCTGTTGGGGGCCTAGAGTAATGATCACTTGGATATGAGACAGGGGGTGGAGCTCTGTAAGGGTCATGATGTCCAGGAGTAGGATGTGGCTAAAAATGAAAGTTGTATCATGATCATCTGTACATACAGTATTTGAATTTTTCAATGCCACTGCAATACAAATGCAATAATTTTACAAAGTTTGTTCTCTCAGTATTTTTTTTTTCTTCATTAGTATTATATTTATTCTTAAAGAATTTTATTCAACTATTATTCAAAATATTTTTGAAATCGTATCTTACAATTGTTGGGGGTGGTCCACCATGTTGGGGTGGGAAAAAGGCTGGGTTGACATGTGGGGCTGGGGCTGGAGGGTGTCCTGGTGGGGGGATTGTCAATGGCGGTTGCTGATGGGGCATCCCTGTAAAAAAAAAGTAAGAATTACTTTAAAATCAATTACGATCATGCACTTGTATTTGTTTACACACTAAGAAAGTGAGTGTTTTAGTCATTAACCAAAGACTTTTTTCTTTTGAGTTAGTGAGAAATTGACAAGAAATGCCCTACCAGGTCCTGGCGGTCTAGCTCCTGGGGGAGGGACCGGCTGGGGTCCTGGTGGAGGGCCAAGTGGAGGGTAGGGTGCTGAAAGGAACAAAATAATTATAGAGAACTAATGTCATTGTTAAGCTGTCATGTGAAGAGGTGAAAGTTTTAGTGTGTTTACAGATGCTACTGTGACAGTTATCATATGTACATCCTAACAAATTTCAGGCATGCTATGAAACAAAATAAAATTTTTTATTATTCTGAGATTAAATAACATGTATCCATAAAATTACAATGCTAAGAACAAGATAATGCAACAACCAAGAAGACAGTTGAGCACAATAACAATAACTATCTACATGACGTGTGACTGCAATAGTGCAAGTACTTGTACATTCAACATCTGATGTACATGTACATGTACAAATATTTCTCATTAAAATATCTACAGTCACCAGAAGCAATGACCCTGGCAAGCCTGTAAAATGTTTTACTTATATAAATATATCTGAACCAATATCAGAGAAGAAAATCCTGGCATTACACTATAACTTTCAAGAGGAAATTCTAAGATTCTCCGAGGGTGAGGAAACAAAATCAAACTTGTAACCGATGAATCCTGTATCAGTAATCTATACACTTCAAACATTAAGACAGGGCTTAATTGACTCTTTTTGGTACATAATTCTATACCCTTTCAATTAGGATTTTTTTATGAAACAATTTGGAAATAATGACGACTTATGTTTTACTGCAGAATAAAAAGTAATATTTGAGATTCCCTATTCACATTTTAATGATTCATTTATAACCTCAAAATTCATTTTTTTTTTTCATGTATTACGAGAATGCAAAAACTCAATCTGCTTGTCATTTGGGAATTTTTACATTAATTTGGGGGAAAAAGTCGATTTTCAATTGGGACGTCTTTTTATCAGACTTGGATGCAATGGATATTAAGCCCTATATGAAATGCATAAAAACGAAGTTTTTTTTAGAAATGTAATCTATGGAACCTATGTTGATATTGATCAATGATCATGACACTGATACTTAAAAAAAAACTTCATAAACCTTCTCCCATAAGTCCTCACCTTTACACAGGCAACATTCACTTTGATCTCATGCAATTCTTAGCACATGCTTTCCCTTTAAACCAGTTCCGACACCATTACTTTTATTATTATATATTCATGTCTTTAACAAAGATTTTTTAAGGGAAAGGGGCATAAGTCTTGCTATAATTTCTTAATACAGCTTTAAAATTCATTTCATTACTTTAATAAAAAGTTTCTTATATATTTTTTTTTATAAAGCTGTATACAGAAATTATGAAAATTTGCTGAAGAGGGCATTAACTTACTGCCTGGAGGTGGAGGCTGAGTTAAGAGATCTATAAATAGTAACATAACATTAAAGAAAACACCCCAACTACTCTCCAAAAACAAATATGGAAGTCATCACCACCATCAATCAAATCATGTCTAGATGTACATGACCAAAAAATTTTCTGACAAAAAATGGCTTTTAAACAAAGAAATGTTTGAAATTTTGGACAAAATTAACAACTACAATGATTTGTAAAATCCTATTTTCCTTTTACCATGAAAATACATATCAATACATGTATGCTCTCAAATCATTACTCCGACAAGATAACACAAATAGTTAAAAATCCATGTAAATGAGACTTGATTATTCAGTCCAAGTAATATTATTCACTCTGATTTACATAAATGTGTGCAATGGGCATGCCAAAATCAATCTCTGCTTGATTAATATGTCAAGGTTTGTTAGTAAAAGCTTAATTATGTGATATGAAGATTCAGTGAAAGAAGACAGAAATTACTGAATTACAACACATAACTAGAAAAGTAATTAAAATAGAGTTTTGCAAGAAAAAAATATTCTAAGATCAATCAAATATGACCTTAATAAATTCTTTTTTCTTCTAAATTACTATATATTTCTTTTTGTATCTGTTCTAACAGAAGGGCTTACCTTTTTTCATTACTTTTAATCAATGTTTCATTAAAAGAGCCTAACAAACTAATATATATAACTATGCCAATATTTGACATACCTGGTCCTGGGGGTCTGTCCCACTCTGAACGAGGTGGTGGTCCCCTGGGATCTGTTGGTGGTGGGCCTCTGATGGGTGGTGGTGGACCTCTCATCATCTTTAATGAATGTACACATATTTATCATTAGAACATGCAATGTATTTATCATTAGAGCATGCAAGGTACTATTGTATAACAATGCACTTGGATAATATAGTATGCAGCAGATTAATAATACATACATATTCATCAAATATTTAATACTAAAATAATCAATAGAGTTATTCCGTTAAAAAAATCTACCCAACTCCAGGACTCCAGAAAATCTCACTGTACCATCCATAGAGTTAATTTTTGTTGAGAAAAGGACTCTGCAAAGAATTTATTTTTCATACAGGGACTTGAGATAAAAGCAATTTGTTTTCATGAAATTTTTGGTAGGGATTTTTATGATATATTTTTATATATAATCTTTAGAAGGTAATCTGAAAATCTTGTCGTAAAACTTTACGTTCAGAGCTGTCTCTAAGACACAAGGGCCATGGAATTTCCCCGCTTATAATGGTATATTCCCCCGGTTAGGCCTAAAAAAATTAATAACTTAGTTCTCAGGCCCACTCGCATCTCATTCAAACATGCGCATTAACCATTTTTATCCTCAAATGAATAAAATAAAATTTCTCTCATGCGCTCGCACGGTGCCAAAAAAAAAAAATCCGGAATTCCCGACTGCATTTTGACTGCATTTTAGAAATCAGTAAAACATTTGACAAACATCAAGATGATCCAGACATGGCCTAGTTAAAAATTGCAAATATGGCCGTCGAATTAACAAGGTGTCAAGATTAATTTTAGTCATGATGGCATTGACTTCAGTGCAAATTCATAAGGGAGTGACTGTAATACTTCCACAGTACAAAGTGGGGGTTTCTGAAGGTTTTTCCATGCTAGAACTCGATCAATAATGCTACCAAAGACGGCTCCCTCAACCTTGGAACTTGGACGTCAGCAAGATTCACAAATTTCATTTATTGTGGGTAAACCAAAGACTGATAAATTTGACAATGTTTAATAAAATCATAAGCACTATTTATAGTGCTGAAACACTTAGATTAATTGTGTTACGTAAGCAATTGACCAGATGCATCACTAAAAGTGTTGGGTTCTGTAAGTTTAACATGTCTGGATTTTAGGACGCTGTCGTTTGATTACACAAATCATCGGAATGTAGAAGATGCAAGAGAAAGAAGCAGGAAATAAATTATCTTGTTTTCTACACTCGATGTTGAAGCACTGTTGATTAAAACTTGCTAGATTTGAAATTATAAATATATTAAAAAAAAAAATCAAAAATCCCGTGTCTGTTTTTTATGAGATAAAAAGGAAAAAAATGCCTCCCTCCCGCATTTATTTTTGAGAAAACTGGCTTGAGAACCAAGTTATTATGGCCTTATTCTGGTATTCCACCTCAACCCCTGTTCGGGGAGGAACCTCAGACACCCAGTCCCTTCTAATTTTTTTTATTTTCCCTGATATATCAATTCCTAGGGACAACCCTGACATTACAAATAAGATATTATAAAATGTACATAGTTTATAGCACCTGCAATGGTTCATTAAGTATTCCTTCCTATTACCTGAGTATCATGGCTTCAATAATAATAATAATCTTGGAATATGAGCAGAAGTACCCAAGAAAATAAATCTGACTTGTGATTCTATAAACTCTTCATCGTTTATTTTGAATTTTCTCTGAATTAGTGAATGCTTCCAATGTTTCCAAGAAATTAACCGGGAAAAAATTTAAAGCCATGTTCTTTGACCCAAACAGGCAGATATTTCTTAAAGCAGTACCATGGATAGGTGTAGATTATTCACTTTTAAAAACAACCCACATAAGACTTGATTTATTGTTAAGCACCCCATGGATACAATTTTCTCCAATCCAGGAGTCAGGTTGACTTTTTACTGCAATATTGAATTTGTTTTTTTCTCAATTTCATTCCAAGAAAAAGTTTTTTTTATAGTACTTACAACAGGAGGGGGAGGACCAAGAGTTCTGGGAGGAAATCCAGGAGGAAACTGCACCTGAGGAGGGGGTCCAGACACTGGAGGCATACCTTATCATGAAATCACAATGACAAAATTATAATCCTTGAAGTACGTTCTCCTTGTTTTATATGTTACATATAATATGCTGATTATCCAGCTTGCATTGTGAAAGCTTGTACTTGATCATAAAGCATTTTGACTGAAAATTCATGGTTATTATTCTTTGGATTGGAATATCAACTTTTTTTATTCCTGTAGTAAAATCTCTAACCTGGCATCATTGGGGCTCCTGTTGGGGGAGGACCGGTTGGTGGGGGTCCAGATACTTGGGGACCTGTAGGCCTCTGTTGACGATTTACGTATCCCTGTTTAGGAGTTTGTCGTGATGGACTGTGACTTCTCTGATGACTGCCTTTATTTGCATTCCCTGAAAATTAACAGCATTAGTTTATTACCTTATGCCTCCATAAAGTTTACCATCATACATGTACCTTTTTTTTTCCTGCAGACAAATTGAGTCTTTTTATTTTAGCTGACATATATAAATCATATTTGTCAACATTGTTTTCAAAATGGTACTTTTGAGTAGGGTTGGATACCGGTATTCGGTACCAATACCGTACCGAATAGTTACTTCAAAAATACTGGTAAAATACTGGTAAATTTAATACACTAATAACAGTACTTCTTAATCTTCACTTACTTTTGACTATCAATATTTGAGGTAAATCAATACGTATATTTTTTTTTAAAAAATCAAAATACATTCACATGAATTTTATTTTAATTTTACAAATAAAAACTGATAATAAATGTAAATTAAAAAGGCAAAATGTCGCAAAAATGTGATCTATCCATTATCTAATGTTTCGTCATTTAGTGCGACCAAACAAAAGGGGTCATGGAAACCGGGTGAAGCAGACAGTCGATTTGTGCAAATTAATTTGTTTGGGATTCAACTGATTGTTTTGTTGATCATTATTAAAAGGTTGAAATGAAATGTTTGTAATTTGAATATTAGGAATATCTCTCTTAAAAGCATGGAATATAGTTTATAAGCTCATTTTAGATTATATCATTGAAAGGTTAGTGAATGGTGAAAGCACATTTGTTATAAAATGAACCCTCATTCTCATTCATCAATGCATAGTACCGTATCATTAAAAATATCGTATCCTTTCAAAAAATACCGGTATGGTATCGTACCGTTTCATCCTTAACGGTAGCCAACCCTACTTTTGAGTTCTCAGTCGTAGAAATACATTTCAAATTACATTATACAGTGGCGCCGCGTTTATCCGGACGCCATTTATCTGGACGCTTCACCATCCGGACGATATTTTTTGGGAACCGATTTTTTCCATGTTATTTTGTCTCATTAATCCGGAAATTCGCGTTCCGTATCCGGACAGTCAATTTCTACTACAAAACATAATAGTTCATTGAAAAATGACTTGTGTATCCAGACGGTAATTTTTCAAGAAACGACATTTTCACACTTATCTTGCATTCGTGTTAATTGTTGTAAAAACACTGGCCACGCAGTCAGTTTGAAGGCGGTAACCTGTGACCTACAAACAATAGCGTCTATAATTAGCGTGTGTTTACCTTAATTCAATCTCACGTTTATCTTTACTATGAAGCTCAAAGAATTTAGCTGACACTGTGCTTTAATTAAATAATAATCCTTTCAAAATCATATTGCTAACCATATATACATCGGGAGAATTTTGGACAGTTGTAAATAAAATTAATAATAAATAACGAGCGATTTTGTAATGCTCTTTATCATGTCGATTGCGTTAGTTTAAAATAAGATGTTCCATTTCTAAAAAACGTAAATGTATTTGAAACGCTTTTTTTCCCTCAAGACAGTATAGAAAAGTACATAATTGAAGAAATATCTCTATTTAATGTACTACAGTTTACAAACGTCCATTACATATAAAACTGGTGTTACGTACAGAAGTTGATTACGTTTTTCAAGATATTTTTTAATGATCGAAATTCAAACTTAGCGTCTGTAGAAAAAATTATAGTGATAATCATGAAGATGGCTTGTGTTTACAAATGTTTTTAATACTTTGTTTGAGTTAGCTTGCAGTGTTCAGTTAATTTTATAGTAACCCTGTGTAATGAATATACGGGGAATATACAGGGTTAGTTTATATTTGAACATTTTCAATGATGAAGCTGAACAGTTCTGTCATATCATATATGAGCTTCAATAATTATGATATATGGCGAAATAAAACAACATATTAGATCAAAATTTGCTCAACCCATGAAGTCACATGCCAAACAGAAGCTAGGCGAATTAAAAAAAGGAGGTCTCGGCATAAAATTGCCCATCCATTTTTTTTATTGTGTAAATTACATTTTAATATATTTTTTCATTAATCAATGACTGCTTTAAAAACATTTAACCAAAATATAATTTAAAAGTTTTTTTTTCTTTGCTGTCACATTTGAAACAAGAATGTGCATATATACATGCTTAGAGAGTGTTTTTTGAGATGTGATTCAATTATCCGGACGATTCATTTATCCGGACAATTTCGTTGGGGACAGAGGCGTCTGGATAAACGAGGCGCCACTGTAGATGGTAAAGGTAATTTTTTTCCCTACCATTCTGTGCTGGGGGCTCTCCCTTACGAGCCTGGGCCTCAAACTGACTCAAGGCCTGCCTATTACAGTTGGAGATCTGAGGCACCTGTCCATGGATCTCTTTCTTTGGCAACTTCTCAAATATCAACCGTGATGAATTGTCTGAACCAACTACCACCACTGCAAACCTAAAAATTTAGAATATATTCAGCTAAGAACAAAAATTTACACCCAAAATATTCAATTCATTTACTAGATACCTACTAAATACAATTGAGAATTTGAAGATGATATGGATTAATTTAGGGGCAGAACAAAAATCAAACAAATATTATTATTTATTTTATTATTATTAAACAGTTATTTAAAAACAGTCTGATTGAATTGTGTTGATTGGTTTTAATATGTTGGCTATGGTAAAGCATCATCACAATAAATTTGCTATACCTTAAGTGTACTTTCCCAAAAAAATTTATAACCAGTGCTTCCCCTCCATTTGATTCATTACGCATTGACCATAAAAAAGGTTTTACTTATACAAAAGAAGCAGCATACCCTTTAGACTGGCCATTTGCTCTATTTTCATAAAATTTTATTTCAACCAAGTCTGTGACGCCAATAGCTGCCAGTCCATCAATAAGATCTTGATCAGTTGTCCACTGAAAGTGAAATAATTTGTATACGCATATTATTATTCACAAAAATATTCAGAATACGGTTGAATATCAATGTTTATTGACTTTCAGTAATAAAATCATGTTTATTTTTAAGAAAGATTTAAAAAACATGCTTATGAGTTTACATGAAAATATTTAACAATTTTTCTGAAAAACTTCATTGTAGTTTAGAGAAAATTTTAGAAATTGTACCGGTAAATGTTTAGATACTTACCCATGTCAGGTTTCCAACATACAGACTGATTCTCCGACCTGTATAACCCGAGGGAACAGTCACTGACGGTGTGGTCTTTGTGGGTGTTATTGGCTCTGATTGTTGCTAAAAAATTACAAAATTCAAATAAAGAATCAAATTGCCAATAAAGTGCCCCACCACAGCATGATACGCCCGTCAAATATTGTTCAATTATCACAAACATTTTAGAGTGCAAGAAAATCAAGTCAACCTTGATACATGGATTTCCATGATTTTTCCATTCCTTATAATATTTGTTTATACATTTCCTGTGGTGTAGGCATGAATTATAACAAATATTACATTATAGATCCTCAACTGGTTGTGTTAGAGCTTGACAAATGCCCATCTGCAGCCCCCCCCCCCCTTTCATATTTGTGAGACATGATGCTCTGAAATTTGTTAGTTGATATTTTCAAAAAATTAAATAAAAATATCATATTATTCAATATGAATTTAGTCTTAACAACTTAATCTATACCAAATTAATTTTAAAATAAAAGACTGGCCATCAAATGAAATATGCTATAAACTGACCAGCAGTTCTTCTGTTTAATTCCCAAAGGATACAGATAAGAACTGCTTGATCAGATATGCTCTAACAGAAATGATTGAGACAGCTAGCCTTCCTACACTGAACTCATTAATTAATCTTTAACTGGATGCATGTCCACTCATTACTCCCAAGGGATGAATGGATCTGCGCTATCTGCTTTGTAGTGCAATTAAAATGCACATTTATGTCATACTGAAATTAAATTTGAAAACAAAGATTTTTTTTTCAATTTGTTACAAAGATTTATAAAAAGAAAAAAAAATGTAATCTTGATGCAACATTTTTAATAAGGTTTCTGCTTGACTCTTAGATTTGTAGGGACTATCTACCATAATTAAAACTTTTTTTTGAAATACTTGATTTTTTTTTTTTTAGACTCAATGTCAGACTGGTTTTAAGCTGCAATTCATATGGAGAACCGGCATGCTAATTCCAATATCACCCCCCCTTCCGAGTGTAATTAGTTTTAATTAATTAGTTTAATATAAGATATCAAATTAGTTTATAATACATATAATACAATATCAAATTAGTTTTAATTACTTTTCACCAAATTCATTTTAAAAGTTAGGCTAGCCCACAAAAACTATGTAATCCAACATGGCTGATTCCTCTGCCCAATTCCCAAGAGATATAGATAACACCTGCTTGATCAGAGATGCTCTACCAGTTAGCTCCTCACACTAAACTCATTAATTTCTCTCTAATTTGACATGCAATTTTCTGTTATCAAAATTCTCCTTGACCAGTGCTTGATAATTACACCCATGGGAGAGGTGGAATTTCTCTTGTAACATTATATTTGTTATAGATTGCTGTAAAGTATATAATGAAAAAAATAAGTATTTTCTTGATTTTAACATTTTTTTAATAAGGATACTGCAACACTTTTACATTTTTTGGGATTGTGTAATATAATAGTAAAAAGACAGTTTTTTTTTTAAATTTCACTTAAATTAAAGGTCACAGTGACCTTGAAATAGGTCGCGACACACCTTCTACCTAAGATGCATAAACTGGCCAAGTTTGATAATTCTAAGTCTAATAGTTTTCTAGTTATGAGCCGGACAGGATTTTTCCATATTTGGCCATAGCATCTTAATTAAAGGTCAGAACGACCTACTTTTTGTGCGCTACACACCGTCTACCCAAGAAGTATCAGCTGACAAAGTTTGATAATCCTAGGCCTAATAGTATTAAAGTTATGAGCCAGACACGAGAAAAGCTAACAGACAGACAGATGGACAGACGGACGGACATGAACGCCATAACATAATACGTCCCGTCTAAAGACGGGCGTATAATAAATGAGTACATCAATATATTGTGTAATATTTCCTTCATGAAGAAGAATTAACTCTGAATGACCCTTACCACAGTTTCTGTGTTTTCACCACTTGAGGGGGCTGTTATGACATCATTGTAAAGATCATCCTCAGCATTGAATTCATTGTCCTAAAACACATAAAAACAGAATATTTTAAAAGAAATCTTACTCAACAGAGAGTTTTTCTATATCTTTTAAACCTAGTCCTGGGCCATCAGGATTCAGTGGGGGAAATTGTCACCATAAAATGTTCAAAATGGGAAAATTGTAAAAAGAAGAATAAGTCTGCACTATTACAAGTCAAGGTCATTCTCACTCTGAAAATCAAATAAATTAATTCCTCAACGTTCTGGTACATGAAGCCGACTTCTTTTTTTTAAATACAAAAGATAAGGAATGTCAATTAATTTAATCAGGAATGTTCCACTCCATTTAGGGAATGGGATCCAGGCCCTTGGAATTGGGAATTTAACAACATTTTATCACTTACTGGGAAATTTTACTGCATGATGTTTTTGAAGAAATATACACTTATGATAAAGAATAGATAAATCATAAAAAAGTTTTTAACCAAGTTTCTTAAAATTTTGTCCATTTTAAATATCGGTATTTCCAAACCTGACCATGTTTTTTTTTTGTTTTTTGTTTTTTTTTTTGTTTTTTGGGTTTTTTTTTTATCAGAACTTTGATCAAGTTAATTTTGTGGGTTCATTTTTGGGGAAAAGGGAGGGATTTTGCAAATGGGAATGGGGCCTATAATATATTCTGACCTACATGCAGGGCATTGGAATATTCCTTTTTAACCATTATTATAAAGTCTATTTATAGTCAATATATATAATCTATACAAATGCAAATGGTTCATAAAATCCATATTCAAAGGACTGACTTGAGGTGAGGTCAATCTCCGGTCAATGTGCTTGTAGCAGCAATTGTTAATGTCACAAATAACATCTCAATAACCTAAAAATGGCTGGGATGGTTGGAGCCCTCTGTGCAACTGATGAGCAGGAAAAATGCTTCCTGTCCCCACCGCCAGATTATTATCTTAACATTCTGATGGGAAATGATGTCTCGTACACAAGGAAAGGAAAACATGCCATTTTGATTTCTGGACTTTTTTATATATATATTTATTTATGTGGCAGTCGTGTGTGTATGAAATATGATATTAACAAAAATAAAGTAAAACATTTCTGCTTTAAACCAGCAATATTTTCATTATGTTATACGACGCTTGGTCTTGAAGAAAAGACCCTTTTCATGATGTTGAATGTTCTCACGCTGAGTTTTAATATTGGAGATCTAGATCAATGCAAAGGAGAATCATTGCTTCTAGTTATGTTGTCAATTGAACGAAAACTTGTATGAAAGCAGGTTTGCATTTTTTTTAGAATCTCACTATTTATTACAGACAGCATTGGACAACTTTCCGCCTAAATCATGGAAGGTTCACGCTTGGTTGCTTCTACAGGAAGTTCAGAAATCTACATTGTGCGTGCATATATCTTACTACCAATAGTTAAACTATTGCAATATAATTAAACATTGTCTGTTTAAGTATATTCGATCAATATGATGTTTACCTGATCAAATCCTTCTTCCAAATTGTCGTATAAATCAATATCCACGCCATCGCTCGCCATTTTGTCCTTGCAACATTTACAATAAAACCGAAACCGGAAACAAATGTAAAACCGGAAAGCCCTCAAACAAAGATGTGGATCTACATTTGTATGTCAGCGAGCCGACTTGTTAAAAATTTAAGAAATTATATCAAACCACTTACGATGATTGATTAGTGCATAGGCCCTATTTAAATTTTTTTATGATTGTATTAGGAGTTTGTAAAAATAACATAAAAAATTCAAGCAATTTTCCAAGGGGGGGGGGGGGGGGGGTTCCAAGCTGACTCAAAATAGAAAATAATATCATTAAAAAATGTCCACAAGCAAAAAATGAAGAAAAAATAATTAATTGTCAACAACCCGACGATAAACCTATTTGGTGGGAATGGATGTCTCGAGGGGCCCACATGCACTTGTTTCTAAATTATTATAATTTTTTTAACCCATTGAATAAATTATTCTGGGTTAAAAATAATCATTACAGAATCAAGTGCCAATGGGTTTAAAAAATATTACAGAAACATTAGTGCCTGTGGTCAAGCCGTATTTTTTCATCTTGCCAATCATCCTCACAACGTCAGGGGTCCTGAGTTAACACGTTGCCGTTGGACCCCTGACATCTACGAGCTTGCTTCTCTCATCGAGATCCCAAAGCACCAATCAAACTGAGATAGACAGATAATGTCATGCTCACAACGTCAGGGGTCCCGAGTTAACAAGTTACCTTTGGACCCCTTACAAATTTCATTCGATATCTTCGGGCTTGCTTCTCTCAAGTGTTCAGAAGCACCAATCAAATTGATTGACTGATTGATTGTATGTTGTTATGTAGTTCGAGAATTTTTTCACTCATATAGAGTCATCACCATATATACCAAGTGAAGGGCTGCAAATTTAGACCTTTACTCGGGGCCATTGAGCAGTGAGGGTTCTTTATCGTGCCAACGCCTTCCGTGACACGGGATCGACCTCGGTTTTTAACGTCTCATTCGAAGCACTTCAGAGTGCGCTTGGCGAAGGAACAGTTGCTACCTATTTTTTCTCGACTTAGGTCAGTCGCGGCCGTGAATCAAACGTGTGCACGACCTTCCGATCACGGAGCGAACGCTCTTCCGACTGAACGTGACGGCCCAATCAAATTGAAGTAGACAGATAATGTAAACAGAAAGGAATAGTTGACAACTAAAATGTACGGCATAATGTGATTGGTTAAGAGATAAGAAAAACAATCAAGGTTTGCAATTTTCCCGAAAGACGCCGCTGCAGTTAGCCCACAAGATATCGAATGAAATTTGTCAGGGTTCCAACGGCAACGTGTTGACTCAGGACCCCTGACGTTGCGAGGACGAGAGGGAATCAGTTGACACCTAAATGCACGTGTTATACGCATTGTTTTAGATCACCGAAAGGACCGGATTAATGTCACAGTGATTGGTTGAAAAATAAGAAAAAACAATCAAGTTTTGTAATTTCCCCGAAAGACATCGCTGCAGTCAGCCCGCAAGATATGGAATGAAATTTGTCAGGGGTCCAACGGTAACATGCATGTTGATCAGGACCCCTGTCGTTGTTAGGATGTTTGCCAGCCTACATGAACTTTAAGGGGTACGGGATTCCTTGTTTTTTTTTTTTTTTTTTTTTTTTTTTTTGTTTTTTTTTTGTTTTGTTGTTGTTGATTTTTTTTTGGTTACTTTACCTTTATAAATTTTATCTCAGATTCAAAATACTAGCCCCCCCCCTTTACCCGATCACCCTCTATATCCACACATGAACTACATCTAAGATATTTAAAAATTTGGCTGAATATGAAAGTGAGACTTACCCACCAAACCCCACCCCTTTTATTTAAAAAAGATATTACCTTCCTGGTGTACGTGAGAATCGAGTTGATATTATTAGAAATACTATGAAATTTATACTAAACTTGTACTCATGAAATAGACGAGCGTGCAGATCACAGCTGTTGGCTAGCAAAGACAAAGTCGAAAAGGACGTGAAAAATATCAAATAAAATTATCGGTCATTGTGGCATTTATACTTCTTAATTCTTCTTCTTCTTTCAGTAAGAAGTTTACTCATGGTGGTGAGCGTTATACTCCGCATGGTGGTCAGGATAAAAATAAACTTCACAGGTTAAATATGTACATGTACGGTTAAAATATAAAAGTTTAAAATAATTGGCCACTTACTTCACACACATCGATCTTGGCTGGTGGTGAACTGTCCATTCCTGACCTGAACTCCTCTATGCATTGAACGGGCTGATGTGGCAATCTGTTCCAAACCCAGACGGTTTGTGGGGAAAGGAGAACTGGTACGCATCCTTCCTGTTGCGCGGAATCCGAAAGGTATGTTGTACTGAAGTTCTGCTGTCTATTTGGATCAGGTAAAAGTCTGCTGGGATTGTTAATAAGTTTTGCTGGATGTTGAATAGCAGTGTGAGGCGGATATTGACTCTTCTAGCTGATATATATGTAGTTGTTCCAATCCCAAAGAACTCAGTTTAACATGTTAGAGACACTAGCTGATTGTCTTTCCAAACAGTTTTTAAACTTTTGGTCACAAATTGCGCTGCTCTGGACTTTCTGTATCCGGATGTTCAAACAGATGGTACATATGTGAGGATTTCAGAAAAATGCAGCATACTCTAATGTTGGTCGTTGGTCGTATGATAGCCTCATATGCTCTGGTTCGTGCTGATGCTCTGTAACCTCTAGGATTTCGTTTGAGGAAACCTAGAGTTCGGTTCGCTTTTGCTGTTATAGCATCAATCTGGTTATCCCACTTTAAAGTATTGGGTGGTGCTAATGGTGACGCCCAGCTACGTACAGCTGTACTTGCTCGAGTCAACCACATCTAATTGATGGTTGTGTGAGACGTAGTTTGCGCATGACCCTGCGCTTGGAAGCCACCTGGATCACCACGCACTTCTCAGGAGGGTGAAGCGCTATACCTGCCACTCCCTCTCCCAATACTCAAGAGCTGCCATTGCAGAGCTCTGCTATCATTTTTGTGGTTGATTGGATGATATAATAAGCAATCATCCGCAAATTGCAGAAGACTTCTTGCCAAATAATCGAGCTTATGGTTAGTTTGTTACCTCTGGAAAATCGTTGATAAAAGTGAGGAATAACAGCGAGCCAAGAACTGCCACCTTTGATACTTCAAACAGGACATCAGCTTTGGATGGGATTGATATTACCTTCTTTCAGGACATGCTGTTGTCTATTGCTCATGGAAATCTTCAATCCACGCTTGTGTAGTAGTTTTTGGTGGGGAATCTTGTCAGTTGCTTTAGAGTAGTCAAGTAGAATTATGTCTTGTCTTTTCTTGTTGAAACTAATTTACAAATATGTCCTAGTGATGTAAAAAGCATATCGTATTTCACTTAAATAATTTGGTATTTGTAAATGAAGTATTATCAGCTATATGTAGACAATTATAGTGGAATCCTAGCAAAAATGCATATTGGGCGAGGCGTGAGCCAAGCCCAACATGCATTTTTTTTCAGGACCGTTATGCATATTACCCAACTAATTAAGTTTCTACATAACGAATTTATCTTGTGGATGATTTTTCAAGGAAGTTAATTTTCTCTAAGCAAAACAAGCTTCTGTAGCCATTGTTTACACTGTGACGTCGTCTGATGCGGCATCAAGTGACGACATTCATTAAACAGTTGAAAACAGTATCTGGTCAGTAGGTCACGTGGAGGGGATATATGAACAAAATCATGTCAATAAGCAGCGTGATATAATGGTTTTATACAGATTGATATTCTTCTCGACTTATGAAATTTAAGATTTTTATCAGAGGCGAGAGAAATGATGATGTATTTTAAAAGCACTTACTTAAAGACACATGAAATAATAACGAACAGTATTCAAGCTCAAACGTCCATTCAAACAATACAAATCAGGATTAGAGCAAACACGGACCTCTAAATAAAACATCAGAGGTGGGATCAGGTGCCATGGAGGAGTAAGCATCCCCTGCCGACCGGTCACACCCACCGTGTGCTCCTTGTCATGATCAGACAAACGGAAATATCCGTCTAGGCAATGCAATGTGAAAATAATGGTCTAACAATTAACACTTATTTAAAGACAAACCGATTTCTTTCAAATTGACAAGTTTTGTTCATTTCTGAGAAGCAAATATTTAATCATATTTAGCATAGCACAAAAAAGAAAAAATGTTGCTAAAAAGATTTCAATATATTATAGGTCTCATTGTAAATATAAATTTCGGGAGTTATCATTCCTTGCCGAGGAATGTAAAGCTATATACATTAAAAAGGAATGCATACACGGTTTGTATGATATGAAAATGTATATGTATTAGTATATCGAACCCCTCCCCCCCCCCCCCCCAAGATTTCTCAGTGAATATTGAGCTAACTTAAAGATAGTTTCAATATTCAATGGAGAAATAACTTAATACTAACCATGTATCATATACATACTTTAAAAATGTGTAAAGAAGAAAATCATGTTGTTAATTAATGTTTGAACGTATTTTTCATATTTCTGAAACTAGAAGTCCATTTGTATAAGGTTTAAGATGGTTTTCCCCATCCTTTCTCTTTAAACGTCAATCATATCACCCCAAAATTTTCCCACTTTTTATCATTCTTAGAGACACAAGATAGTACTGGTATACTAAGACCCAAGGTCTGCATACTCTTTTTGAAATGATATTCGATTTACGTATTACAACATCAGATATACCTCTGAGCCCACAAAATCTGTTACACATCGCTTATCTTCTAGAGTTTGAGACTGGGTGCGTAGCCCATTATTAATCATACAATTTTATTCTCATGATCAAAAATTTCCATTAAAACGAGAACATTTTATGGGTGGCCGCGGCTGTTATTTAATATGTTTTTCACAATTAGTCAAATTAACACGTATTTGTCAAAACTTTATTCATGGGTTAAATCGGTGGATTTATGACTTATATAATGTCGTTGCGGTCCTTAGATTGCGCTGTAGCCTCATGAAAATTTAAATTTGGAGGCGTTTTTCAATAAAACTCTACACCGTAGACAGATA